GTTTCAAAAGGTTTGAAAGAAGGAAGTGTTTTTCCACTTACCATGACTGGTACTCTTCTACCTTCCAAGGCCTGTTGACCCAACAAACACATAATCTGAGAGACATTGACACCGGAACCCTTCGCACCAGATAAAGCCATCGCTTGCATACTATTGTAAGGAAAACGCTTCATCGTTCCATCGGGAATACACTTTCCAACAACTTGGGATGTGATGGCATTAACCTTGGACTGAGTAATTGCGTCCAAAATACCCAGTTTTCCATCGTCTCTCAAAATTTCCTCGAGTCTCTTCAACAATTCGCCATCGTTATTAGCGGTATCATCAGCAAGATTAGTGACTTCGCAAGCAGCTACTCGCCCAATGTCGACTGACTTTTTCAAGATCTCATTCCTCCAACTGTTTCCTTCTCCTGTGAGTCGTAAATCGTCCATGCCACATGTAAAAGCTGTGCTTAATGTGTAGTTGGTAAAAAGTCTTCCGAGGACAGATAATGCTTTACTAGCAACTTCTGGCCCATAAACTTCATGAAGAGAATGAACAATACCATATTGCGCAGCTCCATATTGAGATTTATCCAAAATGCCGCAGAGGAGCTGACCATCCTTGAAAATAACACTGTTTTCTTGGGACCCCAAACCCCAATATTCATTCTTGACTTTATTCTTTGACTCAAGATTGATTCCTGGGACGCCCTTCGGCTTGATGTTCAAAAGAATAGTAGTAATGACCTGCTTTCCTGTCCAAAGTGGTTCAGGCTTAAAGATGGAAGGGGGGACAGTGAGAATTCGAGAGCTGCCATTCGTGTGTCCATGCTCGGGACGAATGCATCCATAAATGAGTTGTTGGTACTTTTCTCTCGTGAAGAAGGTATCCTTGTTTGTGAGCCAAACACCGGCACTGATATGATCTTGAATCAAACCTCTAAGTGGAGATCCAGAGGTTGGGGTCAAATATTGTGAGTCAGTATTCGCAAGATTAAGAGCCTCCGATTTCGCATTCTCATTTTGTGGAAAATGCATGTTCATCTCATCACCATCAAAGTCTGCGTTATAAGCACCTGTGTTAGCGTAGTGCAATCTGAGAGTTTTCTCACCGGGCAAAACTCTGACTTTGTGCCCCATCATGGAAGCTTTATGCAATGTAGGTTGACGATTCATCACAACAACGTCGTTGTTCTTGATGTGACGGTAAACTTTTTTGTTCAAACTGGAATAGCCATTGGAGGGGGTAAGAAGCTGGTTAGCAACGGTTTTTCTTTGCTCGAGTGTCATGCCCACCAACGAAGTCATGTAGCCATCTTCATTTTGAACTTCGATAGCACCAGGCCACTTATCAGGACCATTTATAACAGCCTGTCTCAATTGTGAAACATTGTGGGAGGTGACTGGTTCAGGGTAAGTCAACTTCACAGCGAACACAGGAGGGACACCAATCTCGTTGGTCTCTAAATTGGGATCAGGAGAAATGACCGAACGGGCAGCATAGTTCACTCTTTTACCCATCATATGCTTTCTGAAAAGACCCTCTTTCTTTTCTAATGCCTGCTTGATACCTGGTGTTGGTTGCTTTCCGCCACTTCCGTTCATGTTTTTCGTCGAATCAATAAACACGTTCACATCGTTTTGAATTGTCACAAATGCATTCATCAACCTGTTGAACAACAACTTCCGGCTGTCTGAATTTGCTGCTTTATCCTTGCTGAATAATGCAGAGATCTGATCGTTCAAATCCCTGATGAGCAAACAGGTCTTCAACACGTTCGATAAAAGCTCATTCTGAGCATTCTCGTGGATTTCATCGCCGAGCTTTGATGGAAGACGAAATCTCGTGGCAGGCACAATGAGTGAGTGGATGAAGAACATGTCTGCACTGACTGGTGCGGTAGCAGACGGACGTGAGTGGAAGATTTTTTGCATTACCACTTGCTCGTTCTTGAACACATTGCGCAAAATGTATCTCACTTCAGTCAGAAGAACGTACTTGGAGCCAGCCTTAGATTTTGAGCCTAATGAAGTCGAGCTTTGAGAGGGCTGCTTCTTCAAGGCATCTGGGCGTGAGCCGCCTTTGACTCTATTGCTGCTTTCCTGTTTGTCCGTTAAGGAGTTTTCAAAAATCTTGACAGCGCCATCTTTACGGAACGTTGGAGAGAACATTCCACAGTTCTCACACTTTCCTCTAGACAAAATCTTCTTGTAAAACATTCCAACGACTTCCTTACGCACTTCACCCACAGTTTCAGTGACAATTCCGTTAGCGTTTGTTCTTCCTTCGCTCAAAGCTGACGAAATAGCAGCTTCAACAAATGCCTCCCTCTTCAGTTTAATGAGACCAACAGTTCGAGAGTCGCTTGGAATATGTTCCTTGCTGCCATCCTCCCCATCGTCGGCGGAAGACCCATCTTGTGACAGCATATCCTCGAGCTCTTGACACTCAAGGAGCAATCCATATTGAATCAACTGAAGCTTGCACGCAAACTTGTGAACCTCGAGAGAGTTGAGGCGAAGTTGATGACAATAGAGACAAGATGATCTCAAGAAAAGGAACACCTGATTCAAGAACAAAGGATTATAGACGGGAACTGGCAATTCAATATGACCCTGATGACCTGGACAGGAGTGCTCGTCGAGCCCACAAGTGGTACACAAGTTTCTCAAGAAGGCACCTAAAGCTAAATCGTATAAACCGTTGGCTATAGGATGACCAAGATTATCAAAGACAATGGGATTAGTGATTTGCTTAGCCGACAACCTTCTAATTTCATCGGCCGACATAACGCCGAAGTCAACCGATGAAATCTCCGATCCAACCGGTTTGGCAATATCCATGGTGAATTCCGGCTTCTTTGAAAACTCTAGTGAAGGGTATTGAAAATTGTGTATGAGATGCGAAATACTTTGTGCAAAATTAGTCTTCCTCATCGAGGCGTGATGAAACGCACGTGATCAGCATCGCAGCTCCGATAATGCTGCAGAATGGCAAAACGTATCACAATTTCGATTCCACCAAAGGTACCTTCGTCAAACGAAAGTGAAAAAAAAAAAGTGAAAAAAAAAAAAAAAAAAAAGGAAAAGAAAAATGACCATTTGATATTGGCTTTGTATATATAGGGCGAGTCAAATGCTTAGGTTTGCGATGGTGTGTAATTTCAAATATGCCTAACGTTACATGCTTAAGTCCTAGTAGTGCTCTAAATGATATATAGTCTACCCTAAATTGCCGGAAGGGCCTTTGCCTATTTGACCCCCCAACTCAAATTATCATATCCAAAGATCCAGGGACCCAACGTGTGACGTAGAAGAAGCATGAAAATGCCAAGTACAAATTGGAAAGATAAAATAATGCTGCAAAGAGTGCTCTCGTTAAGCGGCCCGAGCCACACAAGAGTGAGATTGATAATAGTGAGATTCGTGAACTCCTCAATCGAACCTTTATCATTTCGTTTCACTTCAAGAAGTTTGAAAATCGCAAGAAATTCTAAAAGAGCTCTGCCAATTCCTGATCCTTCAAATTTGGCAAAACTAGGGTGCATCACATTCTCACTTGCGTTGAAGCTGGGGAGTCTATGTCTAGGGCACGGAACAACATGGAATAGTTGAGGCAAGGAATAGAGAAAATTCACAATTTGCAAACAGAAAATCATCAAAAGAGTCTTCGAAAAATGACCCAAAATGCCGACAACTGCAAAAACCATTCCACTGAAATAACAATATGTGTCACCCACAAATACACGGGCCGGATAGCGGTTAAAAACGAAAAGACCCATGGAAACTCCAAGGAACGGTACAAGAAATATTGCCGATAACAAATGCGAATCGTGAGCTGCTTGTGAGACTGTGGGACTCAATAAATAGGCCAAGTCATTGATTAAAAGAACTGCACCAAGCACAATTGATTGACCAACCTCCAACCCGTTTATTCCAGCCAATATATTAATGGAGTTTGGGCAGAATATCGATAAAGCTGACATATAAGCGTAGTAAAATATTCCTAGGTCTAAAAGTCTTGGGGCGGTTGACTCAATCTTGTAGTCAATAGCGAGGGTGGTGAATTTGAGGCCAGTGAGCATGGTAAGGAGGCCGTTTGCCTTTTGTGAGAACTGGTTTAAGACTATGACGAAAAACTCTCCTACTCCATTTCTCATAAGAAATCCGGGAACAACAATGGATGTGACACTGAAATCAACGTAATAAACAATCAACAAGGGTAGCGAAGCAACGGCTGGCAAAAAGAATTTGTGCCTCCATCTGATGTCAAACAAGTCGTCGAAGAATCCAAGAATGATTGTGCTGAGCAAGCAAAGGGCAGCACTCAAAAATTCCGCCAATTTATTGTGTGGAAATAATTGCTTGTTCTCGTAGTCTTTGTACTGATTTTTGTAGTTGAGAAGCATGTCATCGTCATTCGACAAAGATGAATAGGAAACTAAGTATTTGAAAAACACGAACGGAATAATGAGGACGATCAATATCATATAAGTAATGGATGCAACAACGCCCATTGACTCGGGTATCGGTTCGGATGGCCCTATTTTGGAAAGGTCCTTACCTTGGAGGCCCACCTTCTTAAAACTAGGGCCTAACCTAGGGATGAGATACGTTGTGAAACAAAATCCCAACACGCCAAAGCCAGCCAGAGTTTGTAATGGGTTGTCGAATTTGATAATCGCTGCCGCCAAACACACTAAGCCGGCGTAGAATAAGCGATTCATGATGCGTTTCCACCGATAAGCACAAGTTGTGATTCTGCGCGCCGAAATTACAGTAACCATCTGGTGAAGCTCTCGTGCCAGTTCAACCACAATAAATGCGCAATATCAATTTGAATTCTAGAACTCTTTTATTTTTACTCTTAAGAAAAAACTACTTTTCGAAATATTTAAAAAATTCCATGAGGCCTCGCCGTAATAAGGAGAGGTCAGGTCGTGGTCCGTGGCCGTGGTTTTGCGAGTAGCCTGCAGAGTTGGTTCACGGTATGGTGACAAGTGATTAACCCATATAATGCACGTTTTTCAAACTGGTCACGAGGAGCTTGTTCATGACATAAAATACGATTTTTACGGTAAAAGTGTTGCCACTGCTTCTTCAGATCAACACATCAAGGTGTTCGACCTAGATCATGCTTCCTCAGCTTGGGTCCTCAACGATCTGTGGAAAGCACACGATTCGCTGATCGTTAAGTTGTCATGGGCGCATCCAGAATTCTCCAACGTCAAGCTACTTGCTTCATGTTCGTATGACAGAACAGTCAAACTTTGGCAAGAACGGCCAAGTGAACTTCATGGATCTGGCCGCAGGTGGCAGAAGTTGACAACCTTGGCTTTTGAGTCTTTTGGTCCGATCTATGATGTGGTGTTTGCTCCGTCACATATGGGATTGAAGCTAGGATGCATTGGATCTGATGGAATTGTGCATATCTACGAATCAATTGAACCTTCAGATTTGTCCGTGTGGTGTCTCACGTCCGAGATTCCGGTTTTAACTCTGACCCTTCCGGCAAAGAGTCTCCAAAGCAGTTTCTGCATTGAATGGTGTCCTGCAAAATTTTCTAAAGTCGAAATGTTATGTGTGATAGCGCTTGATCAAGGCTTCATATATGGTGCGATGGGTGAGGATGGCGAAGGTGACACCTTCCCACAGCAGAATCAAACAGATAACTCAACAGTTCCCTCAGCGCAAAACATCGATCAACGTGTTGCAGACAAGCCTATCCGTCAATTTACAGAGAGCAATCAGCTCAAAAATCTGTCTCCTGGTGAAGCCACTCAAAGAGCCAAATACACAAAAATCTGCAATCTACCAGAGCACAATGGCCTTATAAGATCTGTGAGTTGGGCGCCATCCATGGGACGGAGTTATCATCTCATCGCCACCGGTTGCAAGGATGGCTTTATAAGGATCTTTAAGGCAACAGAATCGAGAGAAAAGGGTCTACAAGTTGACCTTATGGCTAAGCTTGATGATCACAAACAGGAGGTCTGGCGAGTGTCATGGAACTCTACAGGAACTATCCTAAGCTCTGCCGGAGATGACGGAAAAGTTCGCCTTTGGAAGCAAAATTACATGAACGAATGGCAATGTATGAGTGAAATTAATAGCAGCAACCGGCTGGATTATAAGTTACATGGCGACCAAGAGAGATCTGCATACTCACACAAGCCTTCTTCCGCCCGATAAGCTAGATACGTCTCCTTTTTTTGGTAATAAGAGGCTTGTCATCGACCTCTTTCTTGTCCTCGAGCTGCTCCCATAACTCGTCTTCCTGCTGTTGTTCGATTTCGGCCGCTTCCTTCTCGGAGTTCAGCAGTGAATCGTCCTCAATGAACACAATGCTGCTTATCTGAGTTCCAACGTACACTTTGGCTAGTAAATTGCGTGTCTTCACATCAAACACTCGCAAGTATCTGTCCAAACCACCAGTCGCGACAATCTCTGATGCTGGGGAGTGTTCCACGCTATTAATTGCGCCAGTATTACCACCCTGTGAGTATCTTCCGAGCACCTTGAGTGATGGTCTGTAAAATGTCCCTGCGGAAGCTGACACAATTCGCACGGCCTTCGCATCAACCTTTATCAAAGAGAGTTTAGCAACATAGGTATGCGTATCCGTAATGATAATGTCTTCCTCACTATCTGTGGCGAATCGCAAATTAGTGATTGGTTTTTCACAAACTTTGTACGAAGCAATTGGCTCCTCATCACTCAGTGTATCGTACTTTCGTATGTGGCCGTACCAAGTTGACGTGACAAGTTTGAAGTGTTTGGATCCGGTGCTTTTTTGAAAGAGAATGCCTGTGACCCAGATAGGTACATCAAGCCCGAGGTGATCCGGCTCGACGTTTTCCGCCTTGAAAAGAACTTTTGGCTTCCATGAGCCGGCATCTGCAAATTTAAACCCCTTTTTCTTCACCTGGTTTTCGTCATAAAGCTTGATTATCTGAAGATCGTTGTCCTTACCACCATATGCGAAAACACCGGGCCTTGCTGCATTTGAGGTAAATGCACTTATGGACGTCGCTTCAGGGGTTCTTCCCGGAAGTTTAATGGTGATGGGAGCAGAATCAGCTTCGTTGATGCTGATAATGTATAAGTCTGACGATTCTAGAGCAACCATGGCAATCCCGAGTGATTCATTTAACTCTAATGCGATCGGTTTGGCACCCTTCTCACAGCCTAACCCAACTGAACGTAGGAGCTTACCGAAATTATCGGAAGATCTATCAGAAACATCGTAAAAGTCAACGTAACCTCCAATACGAGCCGCGAGCAAAACATTATCCTTCATAATTCTCATCAATCTGATCCTCGTTTTCACTGTCAGGCGATCTGAGTCCTCCAAGACGCTTCGTATGAGCTCAGGTTGCAAAGCATCTTTCTGTGATGTGTCAGTTCCAGAAGAGCATATCACCTCCTTAACATTGCCAGTTTCATCAGCAGAAACGAGGAACCGCATCTTGTTCTGATAGAGTGGTAGAAAATTCTGAGCGCGGCCTTGATGATCATCGCACTGGCCCAAGAAACTAAGAATCCTGGACCACTTACTTTTTCTACAATGCATTTCCATTGCCAATTTGGCCTTGTGAAAAAGAAATCTGCTTAATAAATCACCACCAATAACCGTTCTAATCTTGTTGCCGTCTACCACCAAACCGTTGGTATGCTACGAGGCGAGAGCTGGGTATTCGAGAGATCCTGCCTTTTTGATTAAAGTGAATGATATAATTATTCTGACGCTATCGAACGTCATTTCTAGAAGCCCTTAAGCTGAAAAGTGAACTGTGCCTCAAAAAAACTCATGTCTGGTTAATGAGCAAAACCCTTGTGTCCCTGTTGGCCATTGGAGATATCAAATTAAGCGTCCAGCGGGGTTGCCAGCGGGGCTGGCTTTGCTCAATATGAAGTGGAGACACCTTATTTGTTGTCAGTGATGTGGAAAAAGCTTAAAATGGCTGTAACTTTTTCCAGAGCCATTTTCTGAGCATTTGAGTCTAGATAGTCTTTTCAAGACCGGCTAGTGAAATCATGAACCTAATTTTCACTTTCCTAGGCTCTCGTTTGGCGCGCAAAAGTGCTCGATATAGGAAGTGCAGCACTTAATTTCCCCAAATCGATGGGCGTGTGGCGCAGTTGGTAGCGCGTTCGCTTCGCATGTGAAAGGTCTTCGGTTCGACTCCGGACTCGTCCACTTTTTTTTATAAATCAGGTCAAGGCTTTTAATCTCATGGTCTTCAAAAGAGAAATTTGCGGATGGTTTATCGAGTTTAGCACCATTTGCTGACATTCGCGCACGGCAGTCTCAGCTACACACACTGCCGATACCCTCAATCGCAAGATTCTCAATTATTTCGTACTGCATGTAATCCAGATAGTGAGAAGACTTCAATACTGAAAAAAAATGAGCCTAAAAAGTTGTGGTTTATCACTCACTAAGCACGCATCATGTCCAGTGTTATTGGTATTACCTTCGGAAATACATCCTCTTCTATTGCTGTGGCCACTCAAGACGGCAGAGTTGACGTTATCGCCAATCCTGATGGTGACAGAGCCATTCCCTCTGTCTTGTCCTACGTTGGTGTCGATGAGTACCACGGTGCTCAAGCAAGAGCTCAATTGGTGAGAAACTCCAAGAACACCATCATCAACTTTAGAGACTACATTGGTAAGAAATTCGAAGAAGTTGACTTTTGGGCTTCCTCCGCCGGTGCTAAACCAATCAAAACTGAGGATGGCGGTATTGGTTACGAAATCGAGAGAGAAGATGGTGTTGAGATTGTCACTGTGGAAGAGGCTGTCACCAGACACTTCAAGCAGTTGAGAAGTGCTGCCGAAGATTACCTTGGACAGGCTGTCGAGAAGGCTGTCTTGACTGTCCCCACGGATTTTACTGAGCACCAAAAAGAAGTCCTCAACAAGTCTGCTGAGGCTGCCGGCTTGAAGGTCTTGCAGCTGATCAATGAACCATCTGCAGCCTTGCTTTCTTACTTGACTGCTGCTGGCGATGAAGCTTTGCTTGCTGACAAACTTTATGTTGTTGCTGACTTTGGTGGTATAAGGTCTGACGCTGCCGTCATCTCTGTGAGAGGTGGTATTTTCACGATCTTGGCTACTACTCACCAACACAAATTGGGTGGTGATGACTTGGACGACGCTCTTTCGGACCACTTCGCTAAGGAGTTCCAAAAGAAATTCAAAGCTGATGCTAAGGGCACCGCTAGAAGTTTGGCTAAATTGAAGGCTGAATCTATCACGGCCAAGAAGACATTGTCCAATGTCACCTCCTCATCATTTTCCATCGAGTCTCTCGCTGAAGGCTACGATTTCTTGTCTAACATCAACAGATTGAGATTCGAACTAGCTGCAAGAAAGCCATTGAGTGATATGACTGCTTTTGTGGAACTGGCTGTGCACAAGGCAGGATTGGAGCCATTGGACATTGATGAAGTTTTGTTGGTTGGTGGTTCTTCTAATGTCGTGAAGTTGGCCAGCAATGTGCAATTCATCTTCCCTGAATCCACCACCGTTGTTGCCCCCTCTTTGGACTCTAAGGCTGCGAACCCAGAGGAGTCATCTACTAGAGGTGCTGCTTTGCAAGCTGCCCTTGTGGAAACCTTTGACGATGAAGAAATTAGTGAGTCATTGCAACCAATTGTCGTGAACACCCAGCATTTGACAAAGCCTATCGGCATTAAGGACAATAAGGGCAAGTTCGTTCCAATCTTGGTTGCTGAGACCGCTTACCCTATCAAGAAGTCTATCGAGGTTACAAACGGCGACGCCTCAGATGTCTCTATCGAATTGTTCGAGGGTAAGAGACATGTCAAGGAGACTGTTATCGAGCCAGCACCTAGAAGTGAAGACGATGATGATTCCGAGGAGGAGTCTGATGACGAGCCTGAGATCAAGAGAGAAGTTGAATACCTTACAGGAGATTTGCTCGCCAAATTGGCCCTCTCGGAGTTGAAACCAAACTCCAAGTTGGAGGTTATCATTAGCATCACTCAGAATGGTGTTTTGCACTTGTCTGGAAGGGAATTGAAGCAAGGGTCTGTTGCTGTTAAGGGTGAGTTGAAGTCAGATGCCTAAGGTGACTAAGTTTACTTATTTAATAGATTTTTAAACGTCTGATTCTGGGAATTTCAGACTCTCTAAACGACCACTAGGCCTTTGGCGAGGTTTCTCTGCAGTACTTTTCGAGGTATGGTATGGAGTTACTACCGCATTTGATAGCTAAGCACTCGTCAATCCGATCTCGCTAAAAGTCGATTCGACAAGTTTACTAAGAGAAGTGAGTGGCGATCGTTTGCAAGTAAGTCACTTTCTGTCACACTCTTAGCCTTCATCCAACATGCCCAAAAAGAAGCAAGAAATGTCTCAGGTGTACAGTCAGAACAACGAGTTCATATTTGGTGAGAAGGGAGGTAAGGGGAAAAACCTCCTGTCATTCTTGAAAAATCTATCGCTTACCGGGAGTCCGAGCTCTCTGCTGCGTCAAGGAAATAGAGGGGGTGATGCAGAAAGCCTACGGGAGGTCAACAGCAACATTTATGGCAACTTGTCGTACGGCATTGGCGCTCAAGATCATGGAGGAGGTGAGATCGGTCAGAGGCCAATGATGGCTAGCAGAGGCTCAAAGTCTTCACGATCCATATCTGCTAGTCAGACACGGAGCTCGACGGGCTCTCACGATGGCACAGACGAAAAGCAAACAAGTAGGCTGTCCTCGCCTTTTACTATCAGTCGAGCTGTGAGTGGATCAGGATACTCCCCAAGAAATGCTTACAGACGACCAACATATACGGACCTAGACGATGATTGGGATGCAGCAATTGACGAGGTCAACCTGAAGAACTCACGCATAAAGCCTCCTAAACAAGAGCATTTAGCCAGCTTGAGCTCAGAGGAGCGTCGGTCTAGCTCTACGGGCGTCGTTGATTCGCTCTACCCTGAATTGACCATGAGCTCCGGTGCTGGTGCCTCTTTGGCGAAGGAGCTGATGGACTCTCAAGACAAAGAGATGAAAAACGAGATACAAAAGCTTAACTCCATCCACACCAGATTCAGTAAGTTCCAAAAGGTTCTTGCTGAGGATGATAGTGGTGTAAACATGCGAGACCTAAGGAAGTTGGCCTGGAATGGAATCCCGTCGGAGCTTCGAGCTCTTTGTTGGCAATTGCTCTTGGGATACTTACCTACGAACAAAACAAGACAAAGCTCCACCCTCAAGAGGAAAAGACAGGAGTATCTTGATGGTCTCAAAGATGCAAATGCTGGCTCCATGTTTGATGGAACGGTAACGCCGAGCAATGAGTCCTCAGGCCTGTTGCCTGCCTCCAATAATAGAGACAACAGTTTGAACAAAGAAAAGCAACTTCATCATCAGATCAAAATTGATGTCAAAAGGACCAATCCAAGCATTAAACTCTTTGGATACGATGCAACGCAGAGATCACTTCGTAAAGTGTTATACTTGTGGGCCATTCGTCATCCTGCCAGTGGTTATGTGCAAGGTATAAACGACTTGTGCACCCCGTTCTACCAAATCTTTTTATCAAACTACATTTGGCAGTTGCAGCTTAAAAAAGCATTTGACGCCGGACATGGCGATGATCCTAGCTCTCTCTTCATTCCCGGACTTATAGACGAGACAGGATCTGACACGTTTGAGAATGAGATTCTTCTGGACCCACAATTGCCCACGTTTACATGGGAGAATTTTGATAGTGGGAAGCTCTCGCCAAGAGTGACTGCAATTATAGAAGCTGACACTTACTGGTGTCTTTCGAGACTTCTTGACAACATCACTGATAACTACATCCATGAGCAACCGGGAATTATAAGACAAGTCAATGATTTGAGGAATCTCATTTCAAAGATTGATGTGTCACTTCTTGAACATCTCGAAAGTGAGGGAGTCGAATTCATTCAGTTTGCATTTCGCTGGATGAACTGCCTACTTATGAGAGAACTCTCAATAGGACTCATTGTGAGAATGTGGGATACTTATCTAAGCGAGACACCTTTAGGATTCAACAACTTCCATGTGTATGTTTGCGCAGCATTTCTCATAAAGTTCACAAATGAGCTTAAGCAAAAAGACTTCCAGGAAATACTTCTTTTCCTTCAAAACCCGCCAACCTCCGTCTGGACTGAGAAAGACGTTGAATTGATGTTAAGCGAAGCCTTCATTTGGCAAAGTCTTTACAAAAATGCAACGGCACACCTTCGGTGAAACTTTGAGAGTTTCCTCGATATGAAAATGGAAAAGGGTCCCTAGCAAATATCTCAATTTGTATAATGCTGTCCATAATAGAGCCCATCTCAAGTCCGATCATAATCTCTAATTCGACGTTCGATTTGAATTGTAATTTTTTAAAAAAATTCTAAGCGATTTCTTCGTTTTTCTTAGCCCACTAGGATCCACATCAATTGTTATATTCATTTTTGGGAATATATTTTTTTAATTTCTTCTATTGCATAACATCCGTCATAGGTGCTGCACGGTACTGACTTCTGTTTAATTACCGATGCTCATCGTCAGTGCAGGAGTCAGAGGTTAATATCAATTAATACTTACTGCATTTTTTTCCCCCTTCAGGTTGAACGTCTACTAGGGTCCCCATAATTTGAGCATAATTTTTGGTGGTTTCGTCGCTATTCATTGAATTAGAACCAATGGTGCACCCAGCAGGAAGAACAATTTTGGCATCGACTATTGCTAAGCAGTATGTCACTGAGATAACATCGCAAGTCAAAGCATTGAGCTTTAAACCAAAGTTGGTTGGTTTTTTGGCCAATGATGACAGTGCTGCTGAAATGTATGCCAACTGGTCAGCGAAAACCTGTGAGCTGATGGGCTTTGAGTACGAGTTGAGAAGAAGGGCCAAGCACGATCTTGAGAGTGCCTTGATTCAAGCCAACAACGATGACAAGGTCGATGGTATAATGGTTTACTTTCCTATTTTTGGTGACAAGCAAGATCAATATCTTCAACAACTCATTTCGACTGAGAAGGACGTTGAAGGTCTCAACTTTTTGTACTACCACAACTTGTACCATAATATCAGATTTTTGGACCCACCCACGAATGAGCAAAAGTCCATTCTACCTTGCACACCATTGGCTATGGTGAAGATCTTGGAGTACTTGGGCGTCTACAACAAGCACTTGCACTACGGTAACCGTCTTTACGGTAAGAAAGTTTTGGTGGTGAACCGTTCCGAAATCGTCGGTAGACCGCTTGCTGCCCTTTTGGCCAATGACGGCGCAACGGTTTTTTCTCTCGATATCAACAATATTCAACAGTTTACCAGAGGCGACGACTTGCTGATGCAGAGACACAAAGTTATCGACTTGGATCTGAAGGAATACCCGCTTGAGAAAGTGGCCCCTCAATGTGACGTAATTATCACCGGCGTGCCCTCGGAAAATTACAAATTCCCTACCGAATTGGTCCCTAACGGAGCCGTTGTGATAAACTTCGCGAGTGCCAAAAACTTCAACGAAGAGGTGAAGCAGAAAGCCGGCTTATACGTTCCTCTGATCGGAAAAGTCACCATCGCCATGCTTCTTAGAAACTTACTCCGTTTGATCAACAACAAAAAAATCCGTGTGGAGAAAGCTAGCGGTGGTGGTACCGGTGCCGCCGATGCTTCTTCTGAGACCGGTCCCGCCGTTGAACGTGGGGCAGAAGGTAACAAAGCGGAATAGAGAACCTGTCTTTGCCTGAATCGAGCAGGCGGGGCGCCTGCCGGTACTAAGAGCGGAACTGAGATCCAAAGAATTAACTATGAGGGCAAGTGTACACGTGATAAATGTCACGTTCCTCATCCCGATGGCCTCACGTGCGGCGGGAGAACTCCGGTGTATGTGCACCAGAAAGCTTTCTCCACTGACTCAGGCTCGCCGAAGTCAGCCATAAATCAGTGACAATTCCCACCCCCATTGCAGGTGGTCCTGTTTTCAGTTATCATTTTTCAATTTCCAAATAATTAAAAGATCGAAGAATAGACTACACGCGTCAATAAACTAGCCTAGTCTCGACTCTGCCTATTGTCTTCTCGTTTACGAACAAACCAAATGAAGAGATCTCACCAACCGATCGACACACTCGCAATCACGGAGTCGCTAGGACTCCAAACTTTCAGAAAAGGCGGTCGCAAGGCTTGGACGAAACAAGAAGATGCTAAGTTGGTCCAACGATTGCATGAACTTTATCCAAAAGAAACGTCGGAAAGGAATGTCGATCCCAAGAATGTTCACTGGGAGTTGGTCGCGGAGGTGTTTGACGACCAATCTCGCAAAGCCAAAGACTGTCGGAAGAGGTGGGTCAGCTCGCTTAACCCCAGCCTTCGACGTGGAAAGTGGACTCCCGAGGAAGATCAACAGCTTTTGACAAGCTACAAGAAGTACGGCCCACTGTGGCAGTTGATATCTGCAGACGTCAAGGGAAGAACAGAGCATCAATGTCTGAAAAGATACCTCGAGGTTCTTGATCCGTCTTTGAGCAACCGTCTAAAAGTGTGGTCACTTGAAGAAGACTTACTCTTGATCAACCAAGTCAAAGAGCACGGAACCAAGTGGAGAACCATTGCCGCTGCCTTTGACGCAAGACCATCACTCACTTGTCGAAACAGGTGGCGTAACCTTTTAACAGCTGTGGCTCGCGGTCGTGCTGACAAAGAGGTGATGGAGGCCATGGAGCTGATGACTGATGGCGACATTGCTAACAAACTTGTGATAAAGAGGGAGGATACGGATGAGAATTCGAAGAATGGTAGCGCAGGCGTTGATGATACTTCGGATTTACAAATCAAAGCTGAACGTGGCTCCTCCTCCCCAAGGTCGTCTAGACTGTCCACATCGGAAGTTCTCCAGAACAGCCCCGACAAGGAGGTGGAGTGGAGGTATGCCATTGTGAGCCGGGACCAAACTGAGGATCCAGACGAGCCCTTCAAGGAATTGTTGAAAAACGGCGGTCAGATCAAGTCCAAGGAGTTGGCTCAATACCTCATTCAGTATGCATCGGTCTACAAAATGAAGGTGACTGTGCATCAACATATTCACCACCATTATGGATCGCAAGAATCGTCCGCAACAGCAGAAAATCAAATGGACAAGACGGACGAATCTCCTGCATTTTCTGGCTCTCCTCCCATTATTGGCCAACCAAGGAACAGCCGAACAACTGGAAGCCCCTCAATCTATAACTTAGAACCTGAGTCTCAACTCCATAGAGTTCAGCATTTCAACTACCTTCCACCACTCACAGAAGTTCCCCAATTGAATTCGTCTGCTTCATCACCTGCTTCGACAAAGGACGCTAGTACACATCATCATCACCATCACCACCACCATCATCATATGCACGAGTCAAGAAATGAGAAGGTTAAGTCAAGGAGTCATCCATACAAGGGCCACCAAGAGTACAGCAATGGTGTCGTTTCACTTGCTGATGACGCACAGGCCAAGGAGTCAGATTTGCTCAAGCTTCTCGATCGTGCTGATAGTAGAGCTAACAGCATTGGTAGGGCTAACCGCAGAGCGGATGACAGGACAGACCAAACGCCAAATGAGCCCGAATCCAATCTGCTTACACCTTTAACTCAGGCTGTTCAAATGGTGGCAGATGCCGAGGCAGAGAACCTGCTTCTTTCGAAAAGACCGCTTGATGATTTTGATGCTCAGAACAAGAAGATGAAGCTTGACATTCCCGAAGAAGATGGGGATGAAGGACTTGATTTCTTTGAAACCATGCGCAATCTCAGTGCTCCATATCAGCCTCAAAGACACCGTCACGATAGGAGAGCTCACAAAGCTCACGCAAAAGATCGCCGCGGTTCAAAAAGCAGCAATGGAAGTATTGATGAGGTGCCCAATCAGCCAGTCTCTCAGCATCATCCCTTGCACTATTCTCAGAGCAGTGTAACTCCAGTTCCTGAACCACTTGCTGTCGAAGAAGATGAGGATGAACTACTTGACGTGTACGGACTTTTCTACAACTCGCATCCCAGGGAACCCACTGTGGAACCAACAGCTAACACTCAAGCCCACAACAATTTGCTCGAGTTGACTAATCCATTTGCATTTCCGTTCAACCCTTCGTAGTTGAACACTTTTTTAGCATCATAATTCACAAACTTTCAGTGCCAATATATTTCGATACCAGAAATGTACGTCTTATTCTATTAGCCCCTCTTTTTCAAACAAGCGAGCGCTTCTCGGGTTCTGGCAGCTCTGCTGGGGTTGTCTCAGCGGTATCATCAAAGGGGACCGTATCTTCGTTTTGGATCTGCTCCTTTGTTTGTTTAGTAGGATCTCTGGGAGTTTCTGTGTCAGCCTTTTGGGTGCCATTGTTAGAGGCTGCGGTCGCTAGCCTGAGCTTTCTTTTACGATAGAAGGCTCTCCACTTTGCATGGGATTCGGCAAAATCTCTAATCTTCTGATTCCATAGTATCTGTGCTTGGTAGTAACTCCCACCCCTATGTGCCAAGCTAAGGCAGTCCATCATATATTCGAATTCTCCTGGAAGCCAGGGAATGTCTGCAAGCGCCTTGAACTCATGGATGGACAAGACGCCTCCCTGAGGAGAAAAGACGCAATGACGAACATTGATAGGAATATCAAAATTGAAAATGTTTGCACAACAGCCTTCGACGCACATGGGTGTAGTAAGATAATTGAAAGGCCTGCTTGATTGGGTGCAAATATAGGACATCATAATGTGCCGTGGATGACGCTGCTAGAGTTTCCCTATTTGAAGTTTTCGAAAATCAATGGTACTGAAAGACATGACCAATTACAATTGCATTACTTTTTCGGTTATGATTTCTACAACCGTTTCTACCAGTGAACCGTTGATCTCTTAGGAGGACTCGGAAAACCAGACCGTTGTCCGGCTGAGCCATTCTGGACTCCTTTCATCTTAACTTTCTCCTCTTCTCCCTAACTTTCTTACGGGCTTTCAGAACACATCACATTGTAGTATCCCGTCCGTGTTCATTGCACAAGAGTAGTTGTACCTGCCGAATCGGCAATGCTCAAGAAAAAGGCAACTTTTCCGTCGCTTCCAAAATAAGACAGCTTACCATAAGCGACAATTCTTCACCTCTCCAATACCAACCCCAAAGGGTGGCTCTCTATCAGATATACCTCTGTCCTTCATCTATTGCGCCTACCTTTCCCGTCGGCTATAGTAGCAGCCGAGGATCCTGAAAACGCCAGGTCACAATCATGCCAAAACCTTAAGAAATATCAAATCTGATTTTTCCCAAATCGCCGTTTTCGCCCCTCTCCGTCGCTCACTACCTTCCCTCTACACTTCCATAATTAGGGTGCTGTTGGTGCACCACTTTCCCGCTGCGCACCAAAGATCATTCCTCACCAGCCTTGATCTAGTACATTTGTGACGACCCAATCCACCATATTAACTTCACCTGCTACAACGTTTTTTCTCCTCTAATCAGGCTTGATAATGCAGCAGGTGAGGCAAGGACGCAAACCGCCACCAGACCTAGCTTCCACGCTGGCAATGCAGAAGAATCTATCGTTCCAGAGCACAGCTCACACTCCAGCCCAAGCTCGATCTCACCATAATGCCGCCCTGGAGCCTCCTCTGCTACCTCCTCCGCCGCCTCCGCCCCCGCATGGTCACAAGCCGTTGACCAAGGATGAGTGCATGAAGATCATCAACTCCGAGTTTCGTTCGCTTCAGTTAGACAGCCGTCTTACCACCATGTCGGTCTTTGATCTCATAGACCATTGCTCCTCGTTGTTCGAGGACCTGAAGGAGCATGCTTACACCACGCTGGGGCTCAAGAGCTACGTCAGAGCATACTTGATCTTCAACTACTTCATCAACTCCTTCATCATGGTGCATTTCGAAGGGTTTGACCGTTTTCTCAAGCTGAACCAACAGGATTTCATAATATACTTGAACCTTTACAATTTCTTTAGAAGAGAGGATATCATCGGCCGCAACGTCTTTGACATTGACTTGGACACTTTACAGCTTCACATGGACGAATACTTGACATCTCACAACCTCCTATCTTTTGACATTCAAGAGCTTTTCGGCTGGTTGAACGAGTACATTGAATTCTTGAAGCACAAAGATGACGACTCAGAGGAAGAAGAAGAGGACGATCTTGGCCAGGGCTTCGCTCAACCTGCGGTCTCGAAGCCTTATTATCAAACGGAACCCACAAACCTGCTCAACTTATCAGAGATCATCAAGCAGGGCGATCCTGCTGGGACAGAAACGGATCCAGATATGTTTGACTTTGCAAATCGGTTCCCTGAGGTGGCCGAAACTCCATATCCTGTGCGCCAATCCAGGCTGTCTTTGACCGAGCCTACCCTCGACAAGCATTACACCCAGTCACAGAACAATTCATCGAGGCATGGTAACGGTCATCGTCAGGATACGATTCCACCTGTACCGCACATTCCTCCAGTACCACAGGTTGCACCGACTCCACACTCGCATCATCCACAAGCCATGAGATCGCAGGAAAAGTTATCATCTGCGCCTTCAGTACAGTCATTACCAGTAAACGGCGAAGCCATGGCATATGGGAACAATGGCAATTCATTCTACCATCAGAATAGATCGCATATCCAGCTCCCGAACCATCAACAACCCGCATACCCCCAAAACTTTCAGTACCAGAACTCATTCCCTAACAACCATATGCATATGCTGCCTCAGATTCCACACGCACATCAATTCGTGGCTCCTCCAGTCCCTCACTCAAATGGCACTTACTCTGCTCCTTATTCTGGACCAATGATGAATCCTCAGAAGGCGCATACTACTAGCAATCTACAAGCCATGGATGTACAAAGAGCCAGATACCAAGAAAGAGTACAGAAAACTGAGTGGCTACGATCGCATTCAATCTGTGGCCTCAAGAATTTGGGCTCCTCCTGCTACATCAACCTGACGATCCAAGTCATGTTTGGCGTTAGCCGCTTTGTCTCACTTTTCTCAAAGAGATCAAATAACAATGCCTTAGCGAAGGCAATGAGTCTAACGAAAAATAAGACAATTTTGACGGAAGCAATTGTGGGTCTTTTGAGTACATTCCAAGCAAGCGGTGGCAGCGTCATTGCGCCAACGAAATTCATGAGAGTTGTGTCCCTGCTCAAGCCAAGTTTCAACATTCCTTTTGAACAGCAAGATGCTCAAGAATTCCTCCTTTTCATTATAGACAAAGTACATGAGGAGTTGGCGAGACAACCCAATGAGGATATGTTGGAGACAGACTATGTGCGTAAATGGGGTGTTGATGTGACTCCTATGGAGAAAGAAGAATATCACAAGTGGTATCGTGCACTTATGAAGGCTGAGGGTGTTTCGCCGGTTAACGACCTATGTCAGGGACATGTACGAAGCCAGTTGGTCTGTAATAAGTGTGGCTGCACTTCCAACAGCTATTCGTCGTTTTCGATGCTTTCGCTTCCAATCCCATCGACCCATCTGCCTGTGGTTGACTTGATTGATTGTCTCCGTTACTACACCCAGGATGAAACGCTCAGTGGTGAAAATGCCTGGAAGTGTCCGAGATGTAATAAAACGGAGGGTGACGGCAACCCAATGGATGTCGTTTTCCAACAGAAGAGGTCGCTCAAACCGTGGAAGAATAAAAGCTCCAAGAAGCCAAAGGAAAATGGTTCGCCAATGGGCCCCATCAGTATCAAGAAGTTGAGCATCATTAAGTTGCCCCCGGTGTTATTCATCCATTTGTCAAGATTCTCCATGTTCAGCATGACAGATAAACTTAATGCTACAATCACATATCCGTTGCGACTTAAATTCAATCACCAAACTGAAGACGTGCATTACAGCTTGGTTGGTCTCATCAATCATTTTGGTAACCTCAAGAGCGGACACTACACATCACTTGTCAACAAGTCCAGAGACAAGACTGACAGGTTATTGCATCCAGAGTGGTGTTACTTTGATGACGAAAACTTCAGGCTTCATGTCCCTCATGGTGATGTTCGTACGGAGGGTGCTAAGAGGCTTCATTCTCGTGATGTTTATGTATTATGCTATGAGAGGGTTTCGTGATGAGCGCTTTGATTTAGCTTTCGTCTTCGCTGTCGTCATCATCATCTCCAAATGCGGCGGGTGTCACTTTCTTTTTCGTGGAAAGGCCCTTGAGTGATAGGTTTACAGGTTTGTTGGATGCAAGAGTTGAGTTTGGTTTCGTCATCTGCGGCGAGTTATTCGTGGTGGCATTGTTTGTTTCTTTGCCCTTGGCAATTTGCATCTGGATGAAGTTATTCGATCTATTTTCATCCGACACGAGCTCCTTCTCTCTGGTTTGTTTGGTGTGAAACACCAGTGGGTCCACCAAGCTGATCAAGAGGTCGAACTCGTCCACAGCATCATCGTGAGTCTCGACTCGTATCTTGCCTGTCCTGCCCAAGTACTTAACGAAGGAAGTAAGTGTATTCCATTTTGTAGCGTTCATATGGACATGGTTCTTGTCATTGAGAATGTACTCCTGGTAGAATTTGTTGGCGTTTATCTTCTTTGTGCCGTGGTTGATTCTTAGAAGCCTCAAGAATTCACGTTCGAATTGCCGCAGGTAGTCTTCCACAACAGACCTTCCCTTTCCGTCTTTGCTGAGGTTGGATATTCTACCTAGGTGCGAAGGCGATTGCAAATGGTTCTTGAAACCATTCTGGTCTCTGCACTGTTTCTCGCAAATTTGACAATAAAATCGTAGTTTTTGGAGACCCGAAGCCTTGAGTTGTTTGGACTGGAACTTAGCGGTGCCAGGATCAGCTCTTCCCATCTTTGGCGGAGGAAGATGTGTTGGTGATGATCATCAGTGAGATCAAGACACAGGAAACTACTTTTCGAAGACTATCGGATGTTCAGGAACATACCCCTAAGGCGCACGCCAAACCTCTGCTCCGTTCTGAAATCACGGCTACAGAGTCTAAGAAGCTACCTGGGGCCTCCTGTGAAATCTTACCATGGATTGAGAACACCACTAGCTCTTCTATGGGCTAGGTCACCTCCCCAAACCAAGGTATTCGGAGGCTTTGCATTATTGGGCCTTGCTATCGCCAACCTTCATCCAAATACTATCATCACATTGGGTCCTCCACTCGGCGTGGGTGCGTGGTTTGCTCGTTCAAGATATGAAAAGATGGAATACTTTAGACTGGTGAGACAGATACAACCTTCTTCGACAGAGGAGTTTGAAGATCCCGATCAACGAATCCGCATAGCTCGGTACAACGAGGAGGATGTCAATCTCGTATTGGAAGGTTTTGACAATCAGTTCCAGTACTTCAAGAAGCAGGTGCTTGACCTTGTGGAGAAACGCATAGTTGACTACATCGCCATGTCTGAGTCTACGCCGCATACAATGTCAAAAGTGATCAAACCACTCATTGATGAGAATAAACAGGTGACTGTGCATTTGGGATCCGATGTCGAGACTTTTGTCACAACAAAAGCTGAGGTTCCTGCTCTTTCTGATGATACTATCGTGGAGTTCACAAAGCTCTCGGTGCCCTACTACAATTCCAACAATGTCCAGCGTAGAAAGCGACTTGGGATTGTCGAAGTGAGCTTGCTTGAGATTCCACAGGAGAAGGAGCAGTTCCAGGATTTCCGGATCGGGGTGAAGCTTGTCCAGTACAAGCAGTGGGGCGCTGCCTCCGAATATATAGGTGCTCTTCCAGGTCTTGATGTCCAGAAGAGCCTGTTCTGTAAATAAGTTATCTGGCCTTGCCGAAAAAGTTGCGTTGGAAGTCGTCAAATCTTCCCCATTGGTAGCAGTTCGATGCTTCTCTAATTTGCTCCAACTCAGGCATCCAGCTTTGAATGTCATGCACTCTCTTATGGGTGTTGGGATGTGTGGACAAGAACTCCTGAAGCATCCCGCCTCTAGCCATTGGCGCAGCCTGCTTCTCCCAATTCTCCATTCTGTCCCAAAAGTGCACTGCCTCGTGGATATTGAAGCAGGAACGTGCCATCAACTCACATCCAATGCGGTCAGCCTCGGACTCCATCTCTCTAGACGATGGCATCTGGAGCAAACCGGCAATTAACAAATCATTGAACCACGAAATTCCAGTAGCAGCGTATAGAATAGTCGAAAGAGCTATGTATATTGGCTGCTTGCTGAGTTGCTCTGATGAATGGTTTGCCAATTGATGGGAAAGTTCGTGAGCTAGCACGGTGGCAAGACCATCTTCGTTCTTGCAAATGGGGAAAATTGAAGAGAAGATGAAGATTTTGCCGTTCGGCAAAATGAAAGCGTTCGGAGGCTCTTTTCTTGGGTCTTGGACTTGGATGATGCTGATGGACCAATCCAAGCTCTTCAAATGAGCAGCTTGCTTGGGATCAGCGGTATTGTCTATAGCTGACGCAAGTAATCTGTTCATGATGCTCCGGATCTTATGGTACTGAGGATCCGAAGAAGGCAACAATTGACCACCGAATTGGGCGATGATCTGCGAGTAAGAGTAGTCACCAATCTTCCTCTCCATCCAGTAAGGAACCCATAAGAATCTGTATCTGTGTGTGAAGGGGGCCTCGTTAAGATTGTATAAATAGAATGCCACGCAGCCGCCCATAAAGTATTGGAAGTTTCTGTTTCTTATGATATCGTGAACGGTGAAGTTGGAGCGAGAGCTGTTTCTGAATCCTTTGTAGGTGGCATAGCTGCGATTGAAATATTGCCTGCTGTGGATTTCAGAATTGAATCTAGCCCTTGAAGCATTTTGCCAAAGCGGGCGTAGAGGTGCCCTGGTGAAGCGGAACATGAGGTAGTAGATAGATTAGAATATGAGAGCTTCGCGACACATACATAGAGATCATCACTACATTCCCGATTGAGCGAGCAGTATAAGCCATTAATAAACTAGTCAGCGAGCATCCAGCACTCACTTAAATACAACGTCAGGTTCCTCCTCGTCAAAGCGTTCTGTGGCGATGTTGTTATCGAAGTTACCCTCGATATTGCCAATGCCACTGTACGCCGTTTTCCGAGGGACAGACTCCGTCTTCGGCGTGTCAACTTCCTCTTCTGTGACCATCAAATTATTTTTCTTTGCCTCATCGCTGTCAGCATCCCCGTTAACTCGTTGGAAGTAGATGTGCTTCTGGCGCGGCGTGGAAGTGCGGTCTTCGTCATCCTCGTCGTCCCTTGAGGGCACTTGGACAATGTAATTTTCGTTGATGGCGTCGTTTTGGAAGTAGTCCTTCACAAGCTCTGTGCTTGAGTTATTGTTGACAGGCACCTGGGGCCTCTGCTTGACTGACACCGTTGCGGCTCTAGAAGGAAGTTTATCGAATAGTTGTGAATGGTGGAGTTGCTTGGCGAGGTTCTCTAGCGAGCGGTTATTGTTACCATTGTGGTTGTTGTGGTTGTTTGAACCTGTGGCCATGACCAGGCCGCCGTTGAGGCCCGATCCGCCTATTAGACTTGTGTTGCTGCTGCTTGCGGACGACTTGCCGTCGTGATGAACCGCAGGCGGTGGTTGCGTCAACTCGCTGAGGTCGCCGGCGGTGGAGTTATGCGAGCCCAAGATGGGGATGAATGTGTCGTAGACGTCGTAGGCCGACGGCGATTTTTGGTGCATGCCAGGCGAGCTGTTGTAGGAGGCGGAGTGAGGGATGTAGCGGGCGCTGTTGCCATTCAACACGCTAGGAGGAGGCGTGAAGAAGTTGGTCTTCTTCTGCTCGCTGAAGGTGTTGCTAGCAGACAGACCTCTCGACAGGGAGGTGTTGTCACCGTGCACATCCAAGTCTGTGGACAGCACCTGTTTCTCGTGGGCGGTGGCGGAGTCCGAGCACTCTTTTTTATCGTAGTTCTGCTGTCTATGTAAGGCGTCCTGGAACTGGTTGAAGGAGTTGTCGTCTCTGAGCTCCACGTCGATATCCTGCTCCATGGTGTCCTCTTTTCTCTGGCGCTTCCGATTTCGAAAGTAGAACACGACACAGAGGCAGAGAATGACAAAGCACGGGATACCCACCGAGAGGCCCACAGCTAAGGAGTTATCGTAGCCCATGGGGTTTTGCGGAGGCTGAGGAGTAGGGGTGTTGTTCGTTCAGCTAGCTGTTCTGCGGGGAGAACAATAAAAAGATACACAAGCGAAGGGACAATATTACTGAGCGAAGGTCGGGTTCATGAACGGAGGCGGGAGGAGTTTTTTTGGGGCTGGAGGAAACTGGTTCTTGCGGTTGGCGGTTTCCAGGATCTCAGCTACTCCCGTAATAAAAATGTTTTCTTATGAAAGAGAACCCGGTGCGGAATAGGGGGATGTGCTAGGGCGGAGCAGACGGTATTGGTCTGATGGCGACGGAGGGTGGGATAGCAAAAAAAAGTCGAACGCACGGAGGTGGCAGATAATGGAGGTTGTCTTAACTTTTTTTTTTTTTTTTGGAGCCCTGTCTCTGTCCACGCCAGCTTCGACCTGTCTCAGGTGGCTCAGGCAGGCTTTTCCGAGGCGCTGAGTCGGGGGTGCACCGGGGCACAAACCGGCCGCCGCTTCTATTGCTCTCACGTGACTTCCGGTGCCGTTTGCGGCGAACTTCCGGGGGTGTTCCTGGCGCTGTCAGCGGCTCTCAGCAAACGTCGAGCGCTCGCCTGGAGTTCCGGTTGCGACGGTCGGTGCTGGCTTCTGAAAATAGCTTAAAGCACAGTAATTTAATTAAATTTCCGGTCCTTCGTTCTTCGACTTCCGGTGGTGCCCTGCCAGCGTTTTGTTTGCGCAGCCTCCGGCGCCCAGCAGCACCTCTCCTAAACCCCCCTGGGCGCTGGCCCAGTGCACCTTCCTGCGCCCACCGGCGGGACCAGGTGCTCCCTCGGCGAATTTCCACTTGAACGTTTCTTTCTTTTTTTGATTTTTTGATGATTGCACTTCGTGATGGTAAAGCATTCTTTTCGTTTTTTTTTTTTTTTCCAATCACCCTCCAGGGGCCGTGGGCGGTAATTCTCGGTGGAGTGCAGTGAGTGCAGCGGTAGAGCTGTTGCGGACCACAGACGCAATGCTGTGCCCAGGTTTTGGGGGACCATTTGCGGAAAGGGTTGAGAAAAACGAGAAAACGAAGGCAGGAGTCTTGGGGCGCCCAGTAAAGCATCACCCCGTTTTGTGGAAATTATCCCTTTCCCGTTTTTCTCCCTTTTGTGCTCTGTCTCTCAGTTGCTGCAAATGGTCCTGACGTCGTGGCTCCCTGCGCAACCTCCCGCGCCATTCCGAGGGTGCCCCAATCCGGTTGATCTGATTCGGCTGAAAAATGGCCCATTGGCCGATTCAGGTGCCCAGGATTTAGACGAAGTGGGCCTTGTTCTCTCTCATTGTTTGGTTCCTCTTTCGTAAAAAACCTCCAAACAACCAATCTCTTCGATCTTCGGCTTCTCTCCGTATCTTTGCACGCCCCGTCGGTGTCACTGTTGCCGCATTCGGCACCCTTTTGGCTGGAATCGGCCCACGACTTGGCTGCAAACTGGACCGCAGCAGCTAATTTTGACACCTGCAACGGCGTATTTTAGCTTTGGCGAAGCGTGGTTTTTGACAGATCTAGTGGAGGCGGGGCACCTGGCCGGGCTTGACTGGTATGGCCTGGTGTGGGATGGCGGAATCGCCGGCTCATCTGGGTATTTTCGTCTATCTACTCACAATGTGCTTGACGAGCGCTATATTTAGACCTTCCACATACCCTGCTCCAATCCTCGTAATGAACGTTCGTGAATTTCTCTTCGACGTCTCTCCTACATTGGCTCCTGGCGGCTCTTAATATATACGGACCTCGCTGTCTAGCCAAGGAATGGCATCCACTGCACCACAGCCCCGACCCAGCCTGCTCGATCCCGAAACGCCAAATCACCATGCTTCTCTTCCGTCGATCTGCCTTACACACAATCCCAACGTTCTCCATTAGCTATGTACAAATTTTCTTGTCCGCGAGCCTCGCTGTGCTGGACTGGGCTCTTACAACTCAAACTCCACCGACGCATCCTTGGCCAAGTCGATCACCTCGCCCGAGTCCGTCTGCAACGTCCATGCGTGAATGTCGAAAGGCACCAATTTGGATGTTCTCGTGGCGTTGAGGTGCAAGTTTCCTCCGCCAGTGTCACCCTTCACCTGGAACGTGATGTCGATGTTACCCTTGACGGTGTTGAGCGTGCCCCAGATCCACGGCCACAGGCTCGCGAATCCGATATTTGGACCGAGTGCAGCCTTAGCATGTTCGGATCTTCTCAAGCAGTAGAGCACAGAGTTCACGATGGGTGACCTCGTCTTCTCGTAGTTGAAAATAAGCACGCACGAAAGCGTCGTGCCCACGGCGTAGGCCCAGAAGTATCTTCTGTTCTGCTTCTTCTTTTTAAACGGATCAGGCAATTCCCTCTCCACTGACACGGGGATCGACCTCACCACAGTGTCCAGAGGAGGAACACCATCGTCAAGGTGCTTGTGCGCAGCCTGGCTGCTATTGAGCCTGATGGACTGTAACAAGGGCTGCGGGGTGGCAAGGCCACGCCATATCGAGGGAAGAGCTTTTGCCCGTCCTATGCGGAATCCAAGTTGAAGCATGCTGGTTTTGGTGGTATGAGCAAAGTTTGATAGTGGCAGTAAGTATTGGTGTACGGGGGTCGAGGGGGCAGCACCGCAGAGACTTGTGACGAGATGGGGATGGGATATTGGATTAGGGCTGTGTGGTATGGTTTTTGCTTGTGGTCAGTTAGTGGGGATTTCTTTGATGACCTTGTAGCTTTTTGATTTTTTAAGCGATTTTTGAATTATCTTGATGGTTTGCGTTCTGGTGGATATGCTACGGTTTGGCTGCGAAAGACGAAAAATCAGTTTTCGAGCGGTTCTTCGAACAAGTGGGTACTTGGTGATATGAACCTAAAAAATCAGTAACGTTAGATTTTGAACTGAGTTTCTTGAGTTATTTGTAGATGGCCCAATTGGAGGCAACAAGGTCAAATTCAAGCGATAGTGGCCATTGTGTCGTCGTTCGTATTGATACTCTGAATCCATAATATGTTTCCAGACCAAAACGTTTTTTTTTTAAAGGTCAGAAGACAACTACAATCTTGTTATAGCTTTCACTACATCCTAGCGGCTCAACAAAGAAAAACCTCATGCTTCTCTGGATACCATCCTATGCAATCTACGCTTATACTGTGGCTACCACCATATAGCTTATGAAATAAATTGTCATTATCGTTAGGTATACAGAAAAAGGCGAAGTGGTCAACGCCCTTTGACGACTCCTGGCCACAGCGCCAATGACCATGCGGCACCTCGTACCAATCATAATTCACACTTGCAGATATACCAGTCTAGGGAATCATAACCTCTCAACAGCTCAACGCCTTTAGCTTCTGCAAAGCTCACATCGAGACACTGGCTCAAAAACTTGACCATCTGCTGGGCTCCATTGGTTCTCTTTGGGATCAAGATGTAGCACCCTGCGATTCCCAACTTCTCTTCACACATTTCTACGAAATCCACACATGAACGCAAGGAATCTTTTGCAACCAACGCTTGGACCCCCTCCGTGCTCATGAGAAACACGCCCATTGGGTTCTTAGCAGGTAAAGGTTCGATCCACCCATCTAGTAGATGGACATGACGCGTACCCCGCCGAACGCTCACCTTCATAGCGGAGCGGGAAATCAGAATTGCGAAGTCACAGACACGACGGAGCTGACGGAGCTAGGAACGAACACTGGTTAAGCTGGGTAGCAGCGGTGTTGTAGTTGACAGCCTTGTCGGCATACAAGCAGCTACCGGAGGCACCGGTAACTGGACGATAACGATTCAGGTCATATTCTGGTTCTGGGATGTTCATTGTGGTAGAAGGTTGTTTTGGCTTTTGTGTATCAGGAATGAGATAGTGGTTCGTGATAAGAAACCAGGACCAGACATTAGCGGACCTACAGTGCGCTAAGTCATGTGACGCGGGTCAGGAGACACTGGTAGCTAATCGATAGACATTGCATTCGATGGCAGTTGTACTCTCCTAAGAAGTCGAGTGAATGAAGCAAAGCTGTTATAAGTTTTCAAGTGGTTAAGTTAATCAATGTTCGGGCTCTGCAGTTATTGACAATGGCTTGATATATCTTCTATGGGTGGACTATGGTGCCCTATAATACTAAGGCTCGAGGGAGGAAAAAAGCTTTAAATGTTTGAAAATCACCAAAACCGAGTTCAGCCCTTTTCCAGTCATTCCCGCTTTTTGTCCATGTCAATTCCTCTGTAGTGACTCCCTAGTCCCACAAGGCGCATCGCTCTATGAGACTTCTACACACAACTGTGCATTAGTACCTCATCGGATCAAAGAACCCATCTGTTATCCACCATGGCAAAGAAGGGTATGTTGACAAAATCATATATAGCCTTTACTCTTCAATAAGGCTCCTCCACAATATACTAACAGCAGTTTCCAAGCACAGCAGAGCCGCCCGCAGAGGTGAGATCAACCTCGATGGTGAAGCAAAGTCCTTGGCCAACGTGGCCAAGGGAGAGAACAGCGATGTTCGTAAATCCATTATCAGAACAACCATCAAGAACGAAAACCTTTTAGCAAAAAAGATGGAGAACGATGCCATCCGCAAAAAGTCCAACAAGAGAAAGACCAGTGCCTTGAAGCACAAGTTGGACAGAAACCTGAAGCTTGACGGTGTGTTGGCCAGCAAGATTCAGCAGAGCATAGACCGTGCCAAGTACGTGCAGACGGCAAGAAAGCTGGGCTGGGACCAGATCAACAAGGGCTTGAACGTGAGGCTCGTGGAGGATTTGAAGAAGCAGGATAAGCCAAAGCTGGAGGAAGAGATGGAGATGGACGAGGAGGATGCATATGTGGAGGAATTCTTCAAGGATACGAAGCCCGAGGAGGAGGAAGCTCAGAAAGCACCAAAGCCAGACCAGAATGCTTTTGCATTGCTTGAAGAGACCGAGGCTTAAAGGGAAGTTTGATCCTTCTGCACCAACTCTGTACATTAGACAATGGGTATATACGTTTTGAACACGGTTTAGTTGTGATTTCGGCACCAACGGCTCCTTAGTAGTAGAATCCATAGTGACTGACCTGCATACAGCTAGACATGGCGTAGATTTCCAGCTACTTCTTCCGGCTGCAACATCACCAAGAACTCACCAAATCAAAGCTATGAAATTTCTGCATTTGGCTTTGCTCCTGACTCTGGCTGCCACGGCCCTAGCCGAGCAATTTGTGCCTTTTGACCAATCACAGCTTCAGGAAGATTCCTTCCTTGAACAGTTCGATTACCCGTCTCTACTCGAATCAGGATGGGTGCCTTCTCAGAGTCAGAAGTCAGGACCTTACAACTACTTTGGCAAATGGAAGATTACCGACAAGTCCAAGTACCAGGCGTTTGAAAACGAGAAAGGCTTGCTTATGGCGAAAGAAGCAGCCTACTACGCGATCTCCAAGAAGCTCCCTCAGACCTTTGTCAAGGGCGAAAACGGTGATCTTGTTGTTCAATTCGAGGTGAAATTCCAGGAAGGCGTTTCTTGCAGCGGTGGGTACATCAAGCTTCTCAGCGAAGGCACGGTCGAGGAGGAATTCAGTGACAGGACTCCGTTTGAGGTGATGTTCGGACCTGACATTTGTGGATCGGAAAGCAAGGTGCACTTCATTGTGCGCAAGCTCGACGAGGAAAGCGGCGAGTTGGTGGAGCATCGACTCAAAAGGCCTCCAATGGCTAGAAACCACGTTCTCACCAACTTGTACACGTTGATTTTCAAGGCGGACGGAAGCACCGAGATCAGACTCAATGGAGACGTGGCCAAGGCCGGAAACGCATTCACGTCTTCCAAGTTCATGGATCCGCCATTGTCTGAGCCCGAGTATATCGAGGACAAGACTGCGAAGAAGCCAGACGACTGGGACGACGAATTCTTCATTCCTGATCCCGAGGCAGTCAAGCCAGACGACTGGGACGAGGTCTACGGCAGTCCCTGGATTCCCGACCCCGCCATCAAAAAGCCTGAGGGCTGGAACGATGACCCTGCTGTGCCCAGCGAGATCCCCAACCCCAAGGCTACGAAGCCGGCTATGTGGCTCGAGGAAGAGGACGGCGAGTGGACTCCGCCCATGATGAGAAACCCCGAGTGTCTCCACGGCTGCGGCGAGTGGAAAGCCCCCGAGGTGCCCAATCCAAAGTACAAGGGAATTTGGACCGCTCCGCTGATCGAAAACCCTAACTACATGGGTGTGTGGAGGACGCCCAAGATCAAGAACCCACGTTTTGGCAACGAGGACCATTCGCACTTGATCGCACCGATAGACGCATTGGGCTTTGAGCTCTGGACAATGACACAGGGGGTGCTTTTCACCAACATCTACCTCGGCCGCTCTGTGGAGGAAGCTGAGCGGATCGGCAACGAGACCTTTGTCCCCAAGCTGCAACTTGAGTGGGAAACCTACACAGCCAACAAGCCCAAGCCCGAGCATGACGCCAAGCCGCCTCCACCAACGTTTGAGGACTATCTTGACGAAGACAGCGAGAACTTGGTGCACGACGCCATCAAGCTTATTGGTCTTTACTACAAGTCGCTCTACGACGACGCCATGGACTACTGGGCCGAATTCCAGGCCGATCCTGCAATTGCCATCTCGCAAAACCCCGTCAGATTCGCAGTGTATTGCGCCATTGGGGTGGTCGGGCTTACGGTCGTATTCGTGGCCGTCAACGTGGCGATGTTTGTGGCGCTCAACGCTAAGAATGCAGCGGGGCCCACGGGGCGTAACGGTTTGACAGGTGATCCAAGCACACCAGCTAAGCTGCGAAGCGAAGCAAAGCCTCAAGGTGCTGCGGTCGCTAAAAACGAGGGCGGTAGCGCAAAAACTGGTGAAACGCAAGTTGCAACAGGCACGGAGCAAATAGACCCCGTGGGTGGGTCCACAGGGGCCAGGGCTGGAGACGGTGACGGATTGAGGAAAAGGGCTGCTGGAAACTAGAGAAGGAGAGAATTTGGGAAAATCTTCGATCCGGGCCGGCTTGGGAATTAGGCTTTGGCTCGTAGGTTTCAGCGTTGCGCGGGAGGCAGAGCGGGTTCGAAAGCGGTCACAAAATCAACGATTCGGCCACAAAGCCAGCCGTAGCGCCGGGCCCCTAGGGCGCTTGTTCCTGACGACCTTCTTTGTTTCACAAGACGTTAGGTGATTTCGCAATCACATCCATCAGTGTGCCTGTCCTATTGTGAGGGCTGTCTTCTACAGGGCTTAGTGCGCACATGGGCCATAGAAGTATTAGAGCAAAAGTTGGAGCAAAAACTTCATCAGGGGCTGCCGTTGCCGATACCAGATCACAGGGCTCAGTTTCAACCAGTGCCCCTTTGCTAGGGCGCAGCTTTTGATAGCTTTGCCCATTGTCAGGGCGCAGTGGTTGAGAGTGTTGCCCATACTGAGGGCACAGACGACGTGCATGTGCGTCGCCAGAACAATGCATTATCTGCGGCAGGCCACCAAAACGCAAGTTTGGTTGCAGACAAAGGTTGAGTTTTAGCTCTCCTTGCCTCACGTGGCGGCCAGCCGTGGAAAATCGCCTTCTCTCATAAGACACTAACCCACCTTGGGCTAAATTGCGGGCGTATAAAGACCCCGGCTCTTTCCCTCCACAAATGGTCTTTATCGGTGTTATCTCACAACAAGCAGTGTACACACCCTTACCCTATTCGTTAATTGCCTGCGCCTAACATGTCGATTGGAACCGCGAACACCTCTAACAGGAGAGGTAACGTCACCAAGTTCACTAGACTCGCATTTGTCTTGGTTACAGCAGCCTTTTTGGTGATTTTTGACATAACACTTCCCGCCGCCGCCGCCATGAAGATTAGACTCTACACAAACAATATCAGATACGACAACAAGAACCTTGTTCCTGGAGAGCACAAGTGGAGCGAGAGAGAGCCATTGGTGTCTGAGAGCATCAGATTCCACACCCAGGCTGGTCCTTCCGTGGTGTGCTTGCAGGAGGTTCTCCGCAACCAATTGGAGGATATCTTGGGCGACTTGAACCTGAAGAACAAGAACGAGTGGGACTACTACGGTGTCGGCCGTACTGACGGAAAGTACAAGGGTGAATACGCTCCAATTCTCTTCAGAAACGACGACTGGAATGCCATTGAGAAGAAGACCTACTGGCTCAGCCCTACCCCAGACAAGCCTTCCAAGGGCTGGGACGCTGCTCTCGAGAGAATTGTCACCACGGTGATTTTGGAGCTGAAGCTGAACGGCCAGAGAGTGAAGGTGTTGAACACCCACTTTGACCACAAGGGTGTCACCGCCAGAAGAAAGCTGGCCAAGTTGCTCATGAGCAAGATGGAGGACGGTCCCGAGATTCCTTTCTTGTGTGGAGACTTCAACACCGAGCCAACCGACGAGCCATACCACCTTTTGACCGACGGAGGCTTCAAGGACTCCAGAATCCAGGGCAAGGGCTACGGCTACAACTCGACCTTCAGTGACTTCACCCGTGACCACGAGGCCAACACCATCATTGACTACATCTGGTCTGGCAACGACAGCCACTGGCAAACCTACGGTGTGGTGCCCAACTACTTTGACTTTTACATGAGTGACCACAGACCCGTCATTGCCGATTACGAGATCTAAAGCGCGCTGCCGCTGATATCGGCGCCTAAAAGTTTTTGACATTTGGACATTCTTAACGACCGCTTCATTCGAATTGATATGTTTTTTCACGTGTGGACGTAGCTAAATTTCTTTTGTAGCGACAGTGGAGAGCAAAGCTTCCCCATTGGCCTTATGTAGGGGTGCCTTGAAGTGCCCCACTTTGTTCCTCCCCACTGTTTAGTCATGAG